AATAATTACCAATTTATTCTTGAAAGCAAAGATAATAGCACCCGCGTGTTCCGCTGCATTCCCAACAATTGGCAACAAAATAACACTGATGAAACTCACAGATATACCCCATGACCCTGATGCAGCCTTCATATATATATATATATATATATATATATTTATATGTATGTATGTATATTAATTATATGATTAGTCACAATTTTGGAGATATATGGAAGTTGAAAGCAATTCATGACTACACATTGTTTAATGTAAGCAAATTCAAACCTCAATAGTGTCAACAGCGAATTCAGACAAGAGGGCTACCACTCCGGTCATCAAAACCAACCAAACAAATGAACTCCAAAATCCCAACACCGGTTCTTCCTCGGATTCCCCGTTCCCGTTCTCCTCCTCTACCTGTTTACATCATTCAATTCATATATAATAACATTCAAATCATAGCTTCATTAGGATGCAATTTGAATATATTAACTTGATTGATACGGTGTTAGAGAACCAACTCAACCTCAAGCCCTGCATGTGACTGAGCTATAAAAGATTGAATTCAAACGATTACTTAATTCAACTCAAAGAGCTTATATACCCATTATTTTTTCTCTTCGATTTCCGATGTGGGATATTTCTTAACACTTTAATTTAAATACGTACATCTGGGGCTTCAAAGAGCTGGCGATGAGTCCACAATTGGAAGACGAGGTAACCAAAGTAGGCGAGGATCATGACAATGCTGCTCGTTCTCGACAGCGCGAGGGTTGCTTGTGCGGTCGCCAAAGGGACATCGTGTCCTCCTCCTCCTCCTCCTCCGGTGGCGGCACCAACTTGTTGAAACATCATTGGAAGGGCATGGCACAAGAGCCCCAACAACAAGAGGAGAGAGTTGACATCGGCTTGTTTTCTGTCGAATGTTTGTGGGGAATGGATGTTGGCAATGCCGCCGCAGAGGAGAGAGGTTCCGAGGACGAGGAGAAGGTTGGAGAGGATGGAGCCGAGTAGAGAGTACTTGACGACGTCTACTTTGCGCTCAACCAGCGCGAAGATTGCTATGATCAGCTCCGTTGCATTCCCGCATGTCGCATTTAGCAGCCCTCCCACTGCATATTTAAAATCATTTTGTTCTTTTAGTAAGGTTTACAAATAAGGAGTGGTAAATCTATGAATTTTGTAATTTGTTTTTTTAATTTCTGAGTATATAATTTTTGAATTAGTAGCATTATATTTATTTTTATAATGTATGGATATAATGCTACTAAACAATTACTAGCATTAATTTTTAATTTTATTTCTTTGGGGATTATAATTATAATAGTACTCTGTAAAAAAAATAACAAAACAACAAGTACCTGTTGGACCAGTGTGGTAGGCTATTTGTCTGTTCATTTCCAGCATAGACAAACAAACAAACAGAACAAAAATAAAATCAGGTCAATTTTGGGGGCAAACACAGAGAATATAATACGTCTAAAAACTAGCTGATGATTAATTCCATTTAGCAATGTATAAAAATGTAACTTAACTACTACCCATATATATACCCCCTCCCTCCCTCCAGATCTTCACTATTTGTTCAAATAATAAAAATTTATTTGACCAAAACTACGTCAAAAATTCTTTAAAACAAGATTATTTGAAAAAAATTATCAAATAATCAATAAAAACGTATAAATAAACAAAAATTTTCGTGATTTTTGAATGATAAGCTGTGACATTTTTTTTTAGGATGGAGGGTGTAACATTAATTTAAATCTTTGATGTCATTTAACCAATTCAATCCTAGCTCAAAATTGTGTTTGAAGATTAAGGAATATTTTATAGTCCAAGATCCATTTTTTCCCACCAAGAGTAAATATATTTGCATTATTCTCTCCTTCGTGAAGGACAAAGCAAATTTGAGGATTTTTTTGTTATACTTATTTAAAATTTAAGAATTTTAAAAAAAGAACAACGTGCTAATTAAATGAAGGGGGCTTCCCATTACATTAGAATGACATAGAATTAGAAATATAGAATGACATTGGCCTCATTTCTGTTAAAAAAATTGATAGATTCTACTTCTGATTCTTTCAGGGAATCGCCCATCTGGTCCGACCCAACCCACTACTCCACCCCGTCAATTGCTTCCCACAAGATTTAGTTGACTTAGGACTCAAAATTTGACTCAAACTAATTCAATGACATTGATTTCCAATGTAATCGAAACCAAAGGTTTTAAAATGAAAGAAAGTGTTATCTCTAATGAATGAATGCTTACTCTGTGAGAAAACTGATGCGTTCCGCAAGTGGGATGAGTCCAAGTAAGCTCAAAGCAAAAACCCATGGCTGTACATATTTATTTTAATCAATTTAAAAAACATTAATTAATTCAATACCAGCGGACTAACAATGAGTATTTAAATTACAAAATAAAAATTGACAAGGTGACGTAACGCACCCTCCCGAAGTGACGACACTGGGCGAGAATGGCGAAAGGGATGGCGAAGAAGAGAAGGGAGAGCTTAGTCCCGAGGAAAACTTCCTGGAGAGAAATGAGAATGTTCCGGAGAATTCCGCACCGGACTTTCTTCACGAGCGAGAGATCGGACTTCTTCCGGAGAGACGCCGACGACATGTTGTGCGCCGTCCGGCCGTAGCTCTGCCCGTGCCCCTGCCTCGATTCCTTGCTCAACAGCTTTATGTTCCCGTTCTCCAGTAGCCACGCCGCGTGCTGCTGGTCCTGTGCGGCGGCGGCGGCGGAGGCCATTGTTGATCCTTCGATTGATTGGATTTGATTTCTTTCTGGTATGCAGGTAGAGAAATTGAGGAAGGAGGGTCTAGAGACTTGTGGATAGGGGTAGGGGTAAAATGGGGAATGGAATTTGTTGCGTGACGGCGCCGCTAGAGGAGGGATAACGTCGGCTAAATTGTAGGAGTACGATATTTTATGAACAACGCTTAGCTCATTTATAACGGAAGTAGTATTGCTCCAGGCCTACGCGCACCTTCCGCGAAATTTCTCGTGATTTTGTCCTTTTACGGTTCTGTCATGCTCCCGCTCTCCTCCTTTTTTTCAAAAAAAAGATTAAGCTATTTGTACATCAAAATTTGTACTTATTTTAAACCCAAAGGCTTGCACCAATATTTTGTGCTAGTGTGATAATTTACATTGACAAAAAATGTCAGTACAATTTTTTTAATTAAACTAACATTTTCTGCTAGTGTGAATCGTTAAAATGTCGATGTAATTTTTTGGGGTACAATTTGGAGTACACTTTCGGTGTACCCCTAGCATGGTTGTTCCAAAAATGGTAGAGGTACACGAAAGATATACTCCAAAGTATTTCCAACACATGTAAGACACGATTTTATTATATGGCCTGAATTATCATTTATGTAATTAATTGATCATTGACCTAATAAATATCCTACGTATTTAATTGGTAATTATTCGATGGACGTAATTACCCTTACGACCTAATTAGGGTTTCCCCTTGGGTGTATATATATAGAGGTCATTGGGCAGAGATTAGAACACACCAATCTTACGTCTCCTCTCTGCCTCTCTATTCTCGAGAGTCTCATCCTCACCTTAGTCATCATAACGATACACCCTAAACGGGAACTCGATCTGCGTGAGAATCATGGCCTCATCCTTAAATACGTTTACAGGATTATCAGGTACACATAATTTAATTCCTGATTTATACCCCGGAGTATTTTATGTTTAAGAATTGATCAACATGTGGTATCGGGATGTATATGTTGATTATTCAATTTTTCCGTTTCCCTAAAACTGGAATTGAAATCGCATCAGCATTTTTTTTATGCCTAACGTAAACTGGTTTTGAGCTTCACGATTTCCATAATAAACATTAAGAAAAAAATGCTGTTTACATCTCAAAATCGGATTAAGCCCTCAAAATCAATTGTTTTTTTTACTTTGGATTCCATTTCAATGAGTTAAAAAAACCTATTGCTTAATGTTTTTGATTCCAGTAATTACCAATGAATAAATTATTCATGTTATTCTTCATCATTATTATGATGAAATAATCTTGTTTTAGTATTTGGTTTGAATATAATTGTGTTTCTTTAAATTGTATGGCATATCTCACTTTTTGCATAATATATTTTGTTTCCTTATTTATTAATTTATTTTACCAAGAATAGCAAAACTAAGTAAAGGATATGCTAAAATACCATTTTAAAAAAATTAAATTTTTTTTACTTATTGAAATTGAAAATCTCATGCCTTATATGCCTTTTGATTTATTTTGCTTGACTTGAATAATACATTATAATACACTTCTGCCCAAAGGTGATGTGTAACATTTATAAAATTTATTTCAAGTCTTATTAAGCGTTGTCATTTAGTGCATATCCTTAAATAGATATTTGCATGACACTCGCCTTAATTACATAATATTTCACTTCTGTCCAAAGATGATGTGTTATAATTGTGTACTGCGAACTAAATATATATTTGCATTAAAATTTAAATGTTTCACTTCTGCCTAAAAGTGATGTGTTACATTCAAATTGCACATCATTATTTTATTATTCATAATACTTTAATAAGTGGTTATAACCAAAGTGAAAGCCATTTGTTTAAGTAGAATTAAATTTAGTCTATTATTTTGGTGTTATAATAGACTTTTATCACAACTTCATTACAATATAATGGTCCTTATCTTCGCAAGCCTTAGTTCATTACCCCTTAAGTTCTTCTTTAATTATGTGTCTTATTTCTCTCATCTAAATCCACTATCAGCCCCAAATATGGGAATTGAAACTTTAAACGGTGCGAATTTTTCTTCATGGAAAGATTCACTCATGCTAACTCTTGGCATGTTGGATTTACTAATACGTGACTCTCTCGGACGGGGAGGACGGGAGTGACTATTTTCATGACGACTTCTATTTTATCATGTACTCTCTACCCTCTCCACGTTGTCTTACCGAGAATACGAGTAATTTTTAAGGTAGTCGTATTAGTAGTCCCCTCGATAAGGTCTAAGTAGATTACGATTTTTATATCTGGCTTCCGTGGAGGAACAACTCAAAGCAACTTCTAAGGCACATGCTAGTACTCTTATTTTGAAGATGGTGACTACGAAATACGACGGGAATATCGGCATTCGTGAGCACATCATGATGATGAACGATATGGCCCGTAAGGTTAAGGGATTAGACATAGAGATTAGTGAAGGTTTTTTGGTGCACTTCATCATGACTTCTCTTCCTGCATCTTTTGAAGCTTTCAAGATCAACTACAACACACAGAAGGTCAAGTGGTTGATGAATAAGTTGATTGCTATGTGTGTACAAGAAGAAGAGCGTCTGAAGCTGGACAAACCGGATGTGGCTTACCTCATGACGGCTAATCCAAAGAAGAGGAAGGGCAATGTCGATAAGAAGGAAGTTCCTAAAGTCTAGAAACGTGATGCAAGTGCTGCTTCCAGCTCTAAGAACTCCAAAGGGAAGTCTTACTGCAAATTCTGCCACAAGGAAGGATATAGACAAAAAGACTGCCAAGACTTTAAGGATTGGCTGACAAAGAAATATAATCATCTCTACATGATAATTGAGTCCTTTAATTTAAATGTTCCAACTAATACATGGTGGTATGACTCTGGTTCTATGGTTCATGTAACCAACTTACTTCAGGGATTCCTTAGAATCCAGAAGCTGGAAAGAAACTGAAGAACACTTAAATTAGGGAATGGAACAAAACTAGCTTTTGAAGCCGTGGGAACCTTAAAATTAATAATGAAAACTGGTTTATGTATTAAACTTTATGATACCTTATATATTCCTGAGATTACTCGGAATTTAGTATCAGGACCAAAGTTAGACATATATAGACGGTTTTGATGTTTCTCATGGTCATGACAGACTTACTATCAGTTTCAATTCTGAAGTGTTTGGTCATGGTTTTTTGGATGGTGGTCTCTATAAATTAGAACTAGATGATGATTTTTCCAAATCTTTGTTGTCATATAATATCAATCAGACATTAATAAAGAGAAAACAAAAACGAGACTTAGAAACTTCATCCATGTTGTGGCATCAACGCTTAGGCCACATTTCACAAGAACGTTTTTCTAGACTCGTGAAGGATGAAGTGTTACCATCTCTTGATTTCAATGATTTTGGAACATGTGTCAAATGTGTTAAAGGTAAAATGACATCAGTGAATAAGAAAGGTGACACTAAAAGTTCTAATTTATTAGAACTCATTCACACTGACATTAGTGGTCCTTACTCTATCACTGGCATAACAGAACATAACTCATTTATCACTGGCATAACTGGACATAACTCAGAACACCGGGCATTCATATTCGTTTTAACTCCACGTCTATCATTAAATATTTAGAACCATCAACGAGAGATAGGTTTACAGCACGGTATGCTGATTGTCAATTTAATAAGACAGTATTCTCAGTCTTAGGGGGAGACAAGAATAAAGAAAGACCGGTAACACAAAAAGTAATATGGAATGTATCATCACTATCGATACTCGACCCCCGAAGTGGTCAATGTGATTCTGAATTCCAAAAGATCTTACATTTACAGTGCATAGCAAATGAATTACCAGATACATTCACAGATACAATAGATTGAAAAAGTCACATCTATCAGCATCTAATGCACCTGCTCCTATTGAAGTAATCTGAGAAGCGATTACCATACAAAGAAAGCGTGGGACTATGGAGACCAATCGGTTCCAAAAATAAGAACCCACGAAAACGAAAAGAGCAGAATAGTTAATTGAAATAAAGGCAACTTCTTCTTTATAGGAGAAATAAGGGCATCTTCGAGGAATATTCTTTTATTCCACCATTTTACTAAATATGTCCGATTTGATTGTTCTTCATAATTAATTAAAAAATGTGGAACGAGTCACGTATCATTCTCCATCAATTAATTAAACAATTGATAACTCAAACATAATAAAACCGTGTCCTACACACATGGCGTGAGTGGGCCCATACCTTAGAAGAAAAGTAAAAGTGGGGTCACGTACACGGATTAATAGCATTACTAAGCAAAACTGGGGGCACGCAATTATTTGCTCCGACAGTCCCACAGCGGCACATATTCCAAGATAGGGGAAACGAGTACTCCCGTAACGTACGTACGTACGTTGTGTGCCACTACCACATTTTGAATTGCTGCTCAAGCCGTCTCACTCTTCCACCGTCCTCATCCATCACCTAATGGGCTTTTTCATTTTTTTTTGTATTTCATTCCTACAAAAATGATGTTTCCTATTCGAATAATTTGCAAGATTTTGTGATCTTTTAAATAATTTTATTTATAAATTGGTATAGAAAAAAATAATATATATGAATCCTCCTAAAAATATTCACAAAATTACTAATGAGTAACACAGGTTTTATCGAAATAATTCTCAAATCTTATATGTCCTTATATTTTGTTGTAATAAGTAGTAGAGCGCATTCCGTCCAATACTTAAATATGTTTTTTCCTATTTTCCTATTTTCCTCTTGATGTTTTTTTGTAAAAAAAGAATGTTGAGGACTTTCAAGGGAAAAAATTACTTTATTTTTTGTATGATATAAAAATAAATGAAATAAAAAAATTTCCTAAAAAAGAAAAGATTGAGTAAAATAAAAAAAATTGAAAAATAAAGTAATTTTTTCCCTAGAAAGTCCTCAACGTTCTTTTTTTACTACTTTGTACGGAGTATGAAAAATAAAAAAAGATCTAATTTTTTTACAAGGTTTTTATTTTATTTAATTTATATCAATATAAAATTTTGAGTTTTTGAAACTATTTTCTAGAAGAAACTTAAAAAAACTGTATGAAAAGGAAACAAAGTATAAAAAAAAAGAAATAAAAAAGGAAACAAAGAAACTAAAAAGTGAGGGATCTAAAAGTTATTACCATAAAATATTATGGCAAAATAGGAAAAACACATTTATTAACGCCAATGGATTAAGTATTTGCCCCTCCCAGTTATTACTACAAAACTTAAACTCTTAAAGACCTCTCTTATCTTTTTGAAAATACATGGAACCAGTGGCGGATCCAGAAAATGAAATGACAGGGGGCAAGAATAAGGCGGGGCTTGGGAGCAACACTCGATTTTTTTTTGTGTGAAAGTTAATGTAAAATGCCTTAAATACAGTTTGATGGTGTAAATTATCGACCGGTATATCATTTTTAGTCGGGCAAAAACAATAAACTAGTCTAAAAAATACACCAAAATATAAAAACAGGAATTTTGACGTGGAAACCCAAATCGGGAGAAAATCACGAGCCTTTTTTGGCAGTACCTTGCAAACGGGAGATTTTTATTAATATTAGGGGTGTGTACACGGTACATGAAATGAGCTCAGAAGCCAAAAATGAAAGCTTGAAAGCTTATTGAAGAACAAAAATTATAAATATCTAGAGAGAGAAAGTGAGATGTGCAAAGCATCTACGGGAAAATATTCTCTTATTCTTCTATGTTATTAAATATGTCCAGTTTGATTGTTCTTCGTAAATAATTGGGAAATGTGGATCAAACCACGTATTAATTCCCATCACAGTTAAATTGCATTTCAATATTATGAATTGCTACGCATAATTTATAACCTACTAAATAAATGATTTAAAATTTAGATATTATACATGACTAGACTACCAAAAATAATTTTCAATTAAAGATTTAAAATTTTTTTATCCTTCTTTTTAATGTTGTAAGTGAGGATTTGGAAAAATGAATGGGGGCATTTTATTTTTTAGTGGGGGCATAAATGATATTTTTAAAAAATTAGTTTATTTATTTATAAAAAAATTAAAAGTCATTGGGGGCAAGTGCCCCCATTAATCACCAAGTAGATCCGCCCATGTATGGAACCTGGGAATAGTTTTTTTTGTAAAATATTAGGCCCCTATAATATAACACTCCACTAGGTAAGGCTGCTCGGTGCACCCGTGGGTCTGCCACTCTGCCTTGCTCGAACTTAGCCAAAAAACATGAATGAACATATTGTCATTGTCCCAAAATGTTTAATACATTAAGGAAAATGAAGCGAGATTTCAAATATTTTTAGTTCATTTAATTTAAAGATTAGTATTTAAAGAAAAATAAAAAACTTACATTCGGATTATTTAAAAACTAGAGTAAAGTATATAAATGGTCTCTAACTATAAATAGTTCTCCATATTTAGTCCCTAAATACAAGATATTACATTACACAAATAGTCCTCAATTTTTTAAAACTATTCCATAAATAATCATTTGTGCCGAATATGACAAAATATTTTTTTCACATATAGTCTGAATGATTGAATATAAAATGGTTTTCAAAAATTGAGAGCCATTTATGTAATTTCTTGAATTCCACGTCAAACATTTACAAAACAAGAATTACAAATATATTCTATTTTATCAAATAACAATTAAAAACACATAAATAACAAAATGTGCTACTCTTTTTGGACGAAAAAAAATACTCCCTCCGTCCCAAAAAGATTTACACGTTTCAAAAAAATTGCGTCTCACAATCTCCTTCCCATTTCTATTAAAAAACCACTCTTACCCCTTACTTTTTCAAACCCTACCTATCACATTATACCTTTTTTTAAAAATCTACATATCACATCCTACTTTTACCCATCACATCAAGAGTATTTTTGGAAAGTCAACACAAAATTATCCCTCCCTTAATTTCAACTTTAGGCAAAACGTGTAAATCTTTTTGAGACGGAGGTAGTATAATATTAGGACTAATTTCAATTGTATTAGCACAAATATTAGTTCAGAAAACATTTTAATTTTCTACGTACTTAAAAAGAAAGAGTTGACATTGTTAAATAAGGATTCGAAAGTGTGACTTTGAGAGAGTTATTATAAGCCCAATCATAAGCTTTTTAACCTTCAATTGATTTAATTTGTTTACCATAAGAAAGGCGATGTCATCTTGATGAGAGTTTATCTCTTCGAAGTTCGAACCAATAAAGAGCCAATGCAAACTTCAATTTAGACTATCTTTCGTGGAAGTTTCGTGCCTCACAGTGTTGGGGCCAACAACATGTACGTAAAATTGGCACGCGCGTTTTGATTTGCTCAAGACGCCATGCATATTGCGTCCAAATGACATGCACTAATATGGCTGAGGCCTCATAATGTGACACATGGCATGATAATGCTCTCTTTGACGAATTTCTAGACCGCTTTCTTTATTTCCATGAAAAATTTTCCTTTTTAGTAATATTGAAAGGTAGTAATTATTGTTTATACTATTATTCGTTTTTAGTAATATTGACTCTATTAGAAGGTAGTAATATTGACATGTCAAATTAGACCCGATAATTCGAACCGAATAATCAGAAACCAAATCCAAAATGACCCGAAAATTGAATAATCGAATTATAACCGAACATCCAAAATGAGTCGAACCGAATGTATTCAGACCCGATTCAGATTCACATGTGATTGGATTCAAACTGATTAAACTCGAAACTGATTTCTGAAATCGATTAGACCTAAAACCAATAAGACCCAATAATGATCAAACTCAAAATAACTAAAACTTAATTCAGTCAAATCTAATAGTTCATTAGTTGATGTCTTTTTAAGAAACTCATATTTGAATTATAGGTACAACTGCTTTCATATACAAATCTTTTACTTCATACTTTATCACTTAAATTAAGGAGGTTGTCTATTTTTATACAGAGCATAGTTTTCAGAACCGGACTGGTGACCGAACCGGTCAAGTTACTGGTTCACTGGTCGAACCAGTGGTTCAAGCATATTTTATAAATTATATATATAAATATATAAATATATAAATATATATATATATATATATATATATATATATATATATATATATATATATATATATATATATATAGACACACACTCCTTCGTTTATATATAACTAAAGAAACTAACTTATAGCATTTGACTAAAATTATATCAATATACTTGAGTTATTTTAGTAAGTTAAAAAATAAAATTTACATATTACATATTTAAAAAACAATATTAAAAATTTTATAAAGGAAGAGTTGATTTTATTTTTTTCAAATATCCTACTATATATAAAAAGAAAATAAAATAGATTATGTTGTTTCCCTCCCAAAATGGACTACTACTGTCCAAACACCTCCTGCCCAATAACATAGTAACACAACCTCATACAGCTGGATTGTATACATTCAATGTATTCAAACCGAAAAAATACAGAACAGAGAAATTAGTGCAGGCAATACGCTCCCTGATCCTATAGCCGATTAATCGCTTCAAATTCAAATTAAGAAAACCATTAAGAACAAAAAAAACATTGCAAGCAGAATCATATCCCAGCAGCAAAGCAAAGATCCAGTATGAACGTACCAGTTTGTTGACCTCACACCGATGGCGCGTTTGAAGATGTTCCAGATCTTAATGGAAAATGGAAAAAAATATATTAAATCAAAACAAAACGCATAATCATCCAAACAATCCATTGACAAAAAATATCAATAGCACATAAGGCCATTTATGTACCAACAAGAAGAAGGCGTATAAGGAAATCGAAGACAAAGAGATGGAGACGCAGAGATAGAAGAATCTGAGAGAAAGAGATGAAGATGTAGGCGAGAAATAGATGGTCGAAGTGGCGGAAATAAGGTATTACGGAGTAGATTTTTGGAGATTTTTTATATTTACAAGTATGGGCTGGAATAAAACTTTGGGCCTGAAAAAAAATTGAGCTTGCAAATTTATACTCCGTATTTATTATCTCCATTCATTGAGTTTTTATCCAAATTTCACTTTTTTAGCCAACTAAGTTTTATCTTTGACTTATAATAATTAAATAAAATATATATTGTATATTAAGTATATAACATATTTTCTCCGTCCCCAATTTGATTACAAATTGTGGGTTACGGAGTAAAATTTCCTATTTTTTGAAATCATTTTTACCAATTTTGTTATTATTAAAAGAATAAAAAAAACTTAAAACCGGATAAATTAATTATTTCATCAACATTTTTCTTAGTTATAACAAATAGGGCATTATTGATGGTATAAATTAGTAGCGTAAATCAGTTTCATCTAAACACATCATTGTTAATGACAATTTCACACACAATTAATTACATATT